ATTGCAGAAAGTTTTCCCGTTGCCTTCTCCAGGGTTTTAAGTTCAAAACAATCCTTCTATTAGTTTAATTGCCATCCAAGCCTAGTAAGCGTTTCTATGTAAGCGATATCTGGGGTAAGGAGGAGAAGAAAAGGATTCTTGTTTTTCTTAAGTACATTAAAGTGAAAGCGAAAGTGAAAGTGAAGGTAACAGACGACGACAGAATTCGAACTCGACTCGCTGGTTCCTCTTTCTACGTCGGGTAGTTAGTTGGTTGATTTTGTTTAGCAGCATATCAACCTCCATGGGTTATTTAATGTCGAAATCTAAATATTTTGAACATAATTGCATGCCTTCAGCTAAATATTTTTGAACGCAAATTCATATCTTCAACTAAAGATAAAACGTATCGTTGATCATTTTGCTATAAAATGTATTGTTGGTCATTTTGGTATAAAATGTATTGTTGTCATTTTACTATAAAATGTATTGTTGGTCATTTTGCTATAAAATGTATTGTTGGTAATTCTTACTATCCATTGTATTGTTGGTCATTTTGCTATAAAATGTATTGTTGGTCATTTTGGTTAAAATGTATTGTTGGCCATTTTACTATAAAATGTATTATTGGTCATTTTGGTATAAAATGCATTGTTGGTAATTTTACTATAAAATGTATTGTTGGTCATTTTTTTGAAAAATGTATTATTGATCATTTTACTATAAATATGTATTGTTGGTCATTTTAAAAAAAATGTATTGCTGGTATGTTTACTATAAAAAATGTATTTCTATATTTTATAGTGTTTTGTTTGGGAATTCACCATTTGACCATAGCTGGAACCCTAACAGGTGCTACTACCCTGGGTCGGTGTGGGAGAGGAGGTTATGGGAACAACAGCAACTAACAGGTGGTCCCAGGCTCATTAAAACCTTCAATCTCCTGATCAGATGTTTTGCTGCTCAATGTAGTTTATCGTTATACCCAGGACTAAAACTACTACTAAAACAATCATAATAAAACTGTGCAATATAACTCAAGTTTGCATTGAATTTAAAAGCTGATTAAATAATTACTGGGAAATTAATAGCAGACGTTTTAAAAATGTATTTATTTTTTCTCTGTATCTTATTTGTACTTGGCCATGTTTTAAAAAATATTTAAAAGAAAAAAACAGTTACACTAATTGGTACCAGTAGTAACTTTTGTATCGGCTTTAAAAATACTAGTTGCTGCTTGGTCGGGTCATCGGTGACTAAACATATTCTATCACCATGCTTTTTTTTGGTGAGACACCCAGCAGGAAAAAAAAACAAGATCTGTCAAAGAGTGGGTAAACCTTCTTGTAGGGGTCAGTGGTCATATGGCACAATTGTTGAGACTGAGATTCATTGTTATGCGTGCAGCTAGTAGAACGAAGAGGTCGCTTTTTAGAGTGAAGTCAGTGGCCAGGTCGGAAGGGCATCCGTACCCAGATAAAATCAACAGCCTTGTGTCCATGACCAAGGAGAGCCTTCAAGATGGAAATCACCAACCTTAGTTTGACCTCGAGGTAAATTGGCTTCCCCGAGGTTTACTTGCCGGAGACATGCTTTCAACCCAGATATGTGAAGGGAACTGGTCAGGTGCTCAGCCGCTCAGAGGTCCTATGGCCACATCAGGTCATGGGAATGATGAGGATGATGATGCACAGAATTGGAACTATTGGACTAGTAGCAGACGACAGAAAATATGCCTTAGAAATTCGAAAACTTAGATAAATAGACAAATATGATTTCCATGAATTAAGAAAAGTATTAAGAGATAGGAAAATTTTGTTAAAAACGGAGAAAAGTGTGCTGAACTTTTACAATATTTTCCGGAATAAAAGAGGCATCTTTAGTTTGAAAAAAAAAAGACTCGTCGTATTTGAAATAGTTTTATTGATCAAAAATTAAATCTCTCAAAATAAGTACAAATTGTTTGAAATAAAAAGATCTGAAAAGGTCAAAGTAAGAAAATATGATAAATAGTAAAAAAAGGTTTACTTTTATTTCGCTTCTTTAAAAACATAGAAAATCTTCATCCCTTTCTCTGTCGCTTGGAAAGGAATCAGAGATTTTCGCAATTTATCCAATATTTTGATCAAAGAGAATAACATTCCCAGTTCTTTACCTTGAATATTGGTTCCACATTTCTTATATGACCGAATCATTGTATTCCTTCTTATTTTTTGCCCACGAATTATTTATTTTCACGGTTTTTTTCTTCGTCCAGTTGGAGACGCAGCATAATCTTCCACACTTCCCTCATTAAATACTAAAAGTTTTTTTTTAATAGAAATATTAAGAGATTTCAAAGACTTCATTGGTCCAGCGCATTGCACATTTGAAAACTCATTCTCTTCTTACACTTGCAAAATTGTGCAAATCATGTAACAGCCTGGGATAATCGTTCAACCCACAAAACGTTTAATATCTAAAAGAAAAAAACCATTAAACTAATTGAGTTTCTTTTTTCCGAGTTTTCAGATAAGACGTTTAGTCATCTTGGCACCATTTGTCGTAAGAATCACTGAGCATCCCTTGAGTTATTCAGCTAGAAAGAGAATAGGTTAAAATCGTTTTGTGTCAGCCCCATTATATCTTCCCAAATGAGGAATGGTCAGAGGAAAAAGATCATTCAGTCTTTTAGTAATGGTACCAACATTCATACTATGGCTTCCATCTTCAAAGTCCATTCGAGAACCATCAAGAGAACGTTGAATAAGTTTAAAATAGAGGGAACTTTAGGGAGGAAAACTGGATCAGGAGATCAAAACAGCAAAAGGGATCATCATTTCAACTAAGAGCTAAACACATTATTATTGTTCAAAGTAGAGTCCAATAGTTTTATAAAAACCTCGGAGAATTCCAGTAAAATACTTTAATCATTTCTATGATACAACGGTTCAAAACTTAATCTAACAATTGGAAAATTTTGCTGTTACACAATTCGGACAATTTTGCTGTTACACCTGCCATCACACCATCTATAATAGCCATACATTGACCAATCGAATCCAAATTTGGGGGAGAAGTGCAAACAGATAAGTGGGTGGGAATTACATTTGTTTTTTTTAGGGTGCGTAGCTTAGTACACTAAATTTTCATTAATGTTTTGGAAAAATTAAGTTTTATTATTTAACATACAAAATACACAAACTATTTTAAAAATAATTTAATGATTAAAATAACAGATACTTATTTAATAAAAATGCAATATTGTTTTTTTTTATTATATCTATGATTCATATATAGAAGAAGCTAGTTTCCAGTTCACCTTTGGTTGGCGAGAATTATAAGCAAATCTCAAAACCAAACGCTTCAAAACTTTGGAATTTGGCTCCAGAAAGAAACATGTAGGCATGGCCAGTTGTATGTTGCATGCTCAAGAGTAAGTAATCCTAAGAATTTATTCTTCGCTGTTAAAAATTAAAAAGAGAAGAAATTATCATAAAAATATTGTTTACCATGAAGTCCTATAAAATTAAATTCAGTTAAAGAAATTTTTAAACGGCGAAGTAGGGTTTTTGTCAAAGTATTTTCTAAACAAATCAGCTTTTTCAGATTTCATCGACTGGTTTGCGAAATTGAACGAAAAGCAAAGATTTTAAATATATTTAAATATGTTAGCGATAACTTCAACAATACTAAATATTGTGAAGATTTCAGCAAGCGTTAGCGTGTTGCAAAAAATTCTGTGTCATTTTTTTCTTTTTATGCGCCATGTCCTTTCAGGAGGTAGATGATCATGGCTCTCCACCTCCCTCCATCCCTTGCAGCAAGTGCTTTCTCTCTGCTTCCTCCTCCAGATCACGTTCTGTCAACAACTTGCTTAAGCCCGTTAGGTAGGTCATGCGTTGTTTTCCTTTGTCACTCTTTCCCTCTATTCGACCTGTGAGTATCAGTTTCTCCAGGCCATCCTTCCTCATTATGTGTCCCCAAAACTTCAGCTGCCTCTTCTTGATATTAAGCATAAGCTTCCTTCTTGTTTGCAACCTCTTTAAGACTTCAGCGTTAATCACACGCTCGATCCATAATATCCTTAGCAACCTTCTGTAGAACCACATTTCTGTTGCCTCGAGTCTCTTCATCTTTGAGGAAATCGTCCAATATTCGCTGCCGTAAAGAAGGACAGATGTCACTTACTAGTTGTGTATTCTTTTCTTTGTTACCAAAGAAATACTCCTGTCTCGCAATACTCTGTCCAGCTTTTGGAATCGTCCAATATTCGCTGCCTTAAAGAAGGACAGATATCACTTACAAGTTCAGTATTCTTTCTTTGTTACCAAAGAAAGCCTCCAGTCTCGCGGTAATCTTCCCATCTTTTGGAACGGCCCTTGGCCATCACAATACGCCTACGGATCTCAGTGTCGCACTTACCGTCCTCTGTCAAGACGCTTCCCAGATATTTAGACTTCCATATCTGCTTGATTCTAGTGTTCCCGGCCTTCGAATCGCATTTCGGGTTCATCCTCTTACTGATGACCATGCTCTCTTTCTTGTACTTTAGGCTTAGTCCTTTCTTCTCACACTCCATCGCTATCTTCTAAATAACCCATTTAAATGAAACTAAACTATGTGTATAACACACACGCACACATATATATTATTCATAACTTCGGTGTATAGTACGTAAGCAGATTTAGGCATCGAATTTTCGTGTAAAAAGTGTGTCTTATATACTTAAAAATACAGTAATCGTCTATAAACAGTGAATGCTGGACAATCTTCTCACATAAAAAAAGAGATTTGAAGCGACAGATTTGGGTTTATATTGATAAATGCTAAGAACGCTGTGGACGGAAAATCTGATCAACGAGAACGTTCTATGGATAATCGGAACTACAAGGAAACTTATACTTACAATCAGAACGAGACAAATGATAATGACAATTGCAGGGGAAAACAAGCGATTAGCCTGCTTAACCACACTCAGGTAAATTTCGTAAATGACGATAAATACAGTGTTAATGCAAATATGAGAGGGACAGTGACAGTTAGACAAAAAGAAATAAAGAGAGGGAGAGAGATAAAGGTTGACAAAGTGAGAAAATGAGAGAGAGAGAGAGAGAGAGAGAGAGAGAGAGAAAGGGTGATAGATAGAGAAAGTAGGAATTCAAGAGAAAGAAAGAGAAACGGTTAGATAGAGAGTGAAAGTATGGGAAAGATAGATACAGAGAATGTGGTCGAGAGAAAGAGAAAGAAAGAGAAACAGAGGGAGGGATCTAGAAAGCGAAACAAGAAGGGAGATATAATTCAAAAGAGAGTAAGGGCGATAGAAAAAAGAAAATGGAAACAGTAAGAGAGAGAGAGAGAGAGAGATAGAGAGAGAGAGAGAGAGAGAGAGAGGGAGAGAGAGAGAGAGGAGAGGTGGAGGGGGAGAGGAATTGATAGGCAGAAAGTAGGAATTAAAGAGAAAGATAAAAATAAACAAAGAGAATTAAAGTTTGCGTTATATATATATATATATATATATATATATATAACGCAGACTTTAATTCCCTCCCTCTCTCTCCCTCTTTCTATATATATATATATATATATATATATATATATATATATATATATAGATAGATAGATAGATAGAGAACGTGGTCGACAGATATAGAAAGAAAGAGAAAAATCAGAAGCGAATTAGAAAGAGAAAGTGGAAAAGAGACACACACACACACACACGATGAGTGAGAGATGAAGTGAAAAAAAGAGAGAGATAAGTAACAGAATGATAGAGAATATAAATTAAAGAGAGGGAAAAAGAAAAACAGAGAGATAGAGAACCTAAGTATGTTATCGATAAATAGAGAGAGTGTAGATGACAGAACTAGAAAGAAAGAAAAACAAAGGAAAGAAGCTAGAAAGAAAAAGATAGACTGATGAAGAGAGGGAGTGAGAGAGAGGGAAAAGTGAGAGAGACTGATGAAAATAGGTAGAAAGAAAAAGATATTACGTTAAGAAGCAAGCGAGAAAGACAATACGGATAGAATCGTGAATCATATTTAAAAAATAACTTTGATTCGATTTGTTTGAATTGTTGTTTTATTTCCTCGCCCCAAATGCCGATAAACGAATTTTTAAAAACTGAAGCCCGAAAACAAAAGAATGAAAAAGAAATTCAGCTCAATCGAGACATTGTCTTTCGTTCTTGTCAAGTTGGAGGAAGCATTGTACATGCATGTGTACTTGTGCCTGTCAGCGGCCATGCCACTAGAGACACAGCCGCTCGGTTAGGCCAGCTCCCTGACGTGAATAACAAGACAAGATCCACTGAGAAGAGTATTAATTTACAATTAGTCTCTAATTGGCCAATCAGAGGAAGCCAACATCCTGCATAGCAAATGAGAATGAGCCTTATAATCAAGTGATATGCTCAGCTTTCAAAAATCATTTTTCGCTTGTGTGCGGTCGTTTTCTTCTTTTTCCTATCAAGAATTCCTTTACCTTTTTATTTTTATAGCATTAGCTCAATCTACCGTTCTTTCTAGTTTTGGAAGATTTCTCTGAAAATTCCCGTTTCCTTTCTACAATACGATTTTTCAATATAAAAACCTTTCGCCAGTTTCGTACCTTTTTCCTTTTACGTTATTTGTTCTTCAAGTTCCTGTTTTTGCAAGTAACCATTTGTTAATTCATAGAAGAAGGCGAAAAGTTAACTATTATTTGTTAGTTTTTGTCTGCAAAGCAGCTTTTCTTTTGGTGGGAGTTGGAAAGTCTATAACAGCAAATACTCCCTTCCCACATTCCCAGTACTTGATCAGTGTTCAAATATATCATAGTGAGATATTTCCAAAAGAGTGGCGTTAAGACAGATCATAACATCCGAAATGTCAAAAAAGTCAAACTCTAATAGAATGTGTTTGTTAATTGATTTAATTTATATATACCCGCCAAAAAAAAAAAAAAAAAAAAAAATCAAAATGGAAATTAATTTTTATTAGGTGGACGAAAATTTAAAAATATCAATTCTGCACATACTTCTTTATGTGTCGTGTCCCCTCAGGACGAAGGCGATCATAGCTCTCCACAATTTCCTGTCCCTTTTAGCTTTTAATAAATTTTGTCTCTTTGCTATTTTCTCCCTGTTCCGTATCCATTTGCTCAGTTTCACTAAGTACGTTATGCATTGTTTTCCTCTTTCCCTCTTGCCATCAATCTGTCTTGTGAGTATCAGATTTTCCAAGCCCTCTTTCCTCATTATGTGCTCTAGAAATTTCAACTGTATCTTCCTGATGTTAAGTATGTTTCCTTTTTGTTTCCATTTTTCCTAAAACTTCGTCGTTCTCACATATTCGGTCCATAATATCCCCAGCATCCTTCTGTAGAACCACATTTCTGTTGCTTCAGGTCTCTTCCTCATCTTTGAAGAAATTGTCCAGAATTCATTACCCTATAGGAAGACTGATATTACGCAACAGTTCAATACGCTTTTATTTGTTTCTAATGGAATTTTTCTTTTTCTTAATACTTTACTTACCTTTTGAAAGGCATCTTTTGCTATCCCAACACGCCTTCGGATTTCAGTGTCACACATTCCGTTGTCTGTCAAAACACTTCGAAGATATTTAAATTGTTGTACTTTTTTGTTTTCTTTTTCCAATTTGTAGTTTGCAGGTTGGTATGTTCTTTTTGCTAACAACCATACATAGCGATTTCTTGAAATTCCTGTTTGATCCTTTGTTCTCGCTATCCTTCACTACCTTCTCAAGGATTTCTTGTAGTTTCTTTTCCGTGTGTTATATCAACACCGTCATCTGCATATCTTATGTTGCTAAGATTATAGCCATTAATAATGAATCATGACAGGACTTCGATTTTTCTCAGTACCGTCTCGCTGTATAGGGGGAATAACTCCGGTGAGAAGACACATCCTTGTCTTACACGACTTTCTATTTTTTATATTTACTGAACTCATTTTTTTATCCGTATATAGACGTTTTGTTGATAGTATAGTTTCTGAATTATTCTAATATCCTTCTTAAATATGTCTAGAAGTTGCAACAGTATTTTGTGACGTAATTTATCAAACGTTTTTTGCCTATTCTATACAACACAAGTACACAACCTTCTGTATTTGTATTGCTCTTACTGATATCGTTCTGAGTATAAATATAACATTCCTTGTTCCAGTATCTTTAACGAACCCGAACTGTTCTTGTCCTATTTTCGGTCTAATTCAGATGCACCTTCGATTCACCAGAATTCAGGTGCTAAGTTTTGTTATATGGCTCAATAGGTTAATTGTCCGATGGAGTTTACATTTGTTTGCATCTAGCTTCTTAGGCAGTGCTATGAAAATAGATCTATTTAAGTCTTCCGATATATCACCACTGTTGTATATTTCATTTATTATGTCTGTAATCTTGTCAATGTCGAAGTCATCTAAGTCTGCCAGCATTTCTATTACAATTCCGACTGGTCCTTCTGCTTTGTTTCTGTTCAATTTGGTCAGTGCTGATTCCACTTCAGATTTTAATATTTCTGGTTCTTCGATATTTCTGCATATTGCCGGTTGTTCTCTTTCATCGTGCAAGAATTCTTCGATGTATTCATTCGATCTCTGAAGTATTTTTCTTTGCCTAATATTAGCGTTCCGGCCTTGGATTTTACGCGTCCTATTGATGAGCATGTATTCTCTTCTTTTAGTTCTCTTATTTTTTATGCATATCTGTGATACTCATTTGTTACAGTTTTTTGTGTATATGTATGTATTATGTAACTAGTGAGTTTGTCCAAATGCCTTGACTCGCTTTATAGTCTACCAATAGAAGGTTAACCAATCAGAAGACGCAGAACATTCTATCCGTCGTGTATAAAGGCGGCCATTTTTGTTTACCCAACCCGAATGACCAGTGACAACTTGTCAGGCGAAAATGACAGAAGGAAGTACTACGCTCTGCTACTTTGCTGCGATATCCACTGCTAACCTGAACTACGCTTTCCTACTGTCTCTGGATTCTATACTCGAAGACGACCGTCAAAATGTCTAACACATTCTTTCCATTACTACATATTTTTCGTTGAGCCACTTCTCCTTAGCCTGCTTGCATTCGTTCCTAATTTATTTGTGCACAGTCCTATATTCTGTACCGAACCTTGTATTGTTTTTGTCTACTTTTCATAATTACGATAATTACATCTGACAGCTTTTTTTTTCTTTGTTTACTTTCTGTTTCGATGATCTCAGTTACTGATGTAACTAAGGCTTTTCTTAATGTATCCTACTTCAAGTTTCCATTTTAATTGTGTCCATTGTATCTGCTTTTAACAGTGCATATATTCCTTCTTCACATTCGGCTCATTCGGGAGTCTGTCGTATTGCAATTTGGGTGCTGCCTTGGCCCTCTTCAATTTCCGTAATTTCACTTTCCAAAATTATAGCACAGTGATAGTTTAAATATGTAGGAAAAAGTAGGCAGCAGTTTGAGCATTTTCAAGTAATAGACATACTTCATCAATTTGGCATATTTTCTTTTAATCAGCATGGATCGGCGTTGCCCGTGCTTGATTCAAAAATCGTACGACTCATACAGCAATTACATACATGCCTTACTTCTTGCCTATCTCACACTGCTAATTTTTTCTAAGCTCTATACTAAACATTAAATTTGTTACGAAAAAAGAACTAAACAAAATGAACACAAAACGATCAGCTTTAAAAAGGACTCGTAACTGGAAAAACCGAATGAAAAAAGAATGTTAACAGCAAATACTTTTTCACACCGCGGAATCAGAATTAACGTTGAGTTTAAGCAAGCGAATGAGCCAATTGGAGTAAAGTGCCATGCAGATTTAAATTTTTCCCACTTGTGACGAATGCAGCTATCGATTTTTTTGCATGCTAGCATGTTAGTTAAGATTCATGTCAGTCAGCTGTTGACTCTCACGCTGGCCAATAGAATCTTCCTGCCTCTTCGTGGCAGCTAGCTAAAGGCTCTCACTCTGGCCAGTAGAAAATGGCCTCAAACTACATGAAAACTGCCGTAGAAGCATGAAAAAATCGATTATTTCCACTATCGATGGGAGTTGGTGCAAGGTCTTCTTGCCTTCCCGCTAACTTGGAGCATGTGCATGTAAATTTTGGTGCAAATCCGTCGAAAATTGTGGCCATGCATTCGTTACACACACACACACACACACACACACACACACACACATCCTGCCTTTTATAGATAGAGATTTCTAACGACACTAAGTTGAGGCTTCCTCGAAACCCGTGAAATCATTGTGACATTTCGGTCTAGATATATGTACCTTGGGCTTTGTTGACATGAACGTGAAAAGACAAAATAGTCCGTTAGCTTCAAAATGTAATAAGCAGACTCTCAACAGCAACTCTCTTTACAAAAATATATCAATGAAACCGAATTTACAAACTGTTTCCTTACAAAGAATATATATTTTATTAATACGAATCTATTGTAAAAATCATTTTGGCATTAAATAACACCTTGACGTTGATATGCAGTAAAACAAAACAAACCAACCAACAATCAAAATGTAATGCCTGAATCAGAGAAATTAATAAATTAAATTAGATAAAACATTAAAAGCATGCGACTGAAGTTAAGTCTCACCAAAGCCGGGCAGTACTTAGATGAGTGATCACTTTGAAAAATCAGAAATCGTTCGACACTCGTGGCTTTGCACCAAACAAAATATTGATGAATGAATAAAAAGACAGCGGCAAACGCAACTGTGACAGCAAAATGAGTAAACTGCCTTTGCCGATTTAGCGTAGAGTTGACAGCTACTGTAGAAATAAGCTTGGAAACCTGTAACGTGTAGAAGTTTTTTTTTTTAGATAAAATATTATTTTATCTAAAATGCTGAGAAGAGAAATGAGAATAAAAGTCACTGAAAAAAGAGAAGCTAATCAGAAATTGTTTTCGCTTATCCATTCAATGATATTTTTTAATTATTGCTTATTTGCTATATTTTTTCATTTATTTCTTCATTTTTTTATTTCGCTCTCTACTGTTTGTTATTTTTCTGTGATC